ATGTTGAGGAATTAATGAGCATATGTCATCACCAACTAGGCAAATAGCTAGTCTTTCAATGAAATTTCCAGCCAGTAATTTAAGCAATAGCATGCACTTGTCTTGAATGTTATGTAAAACTTCTGATGTTCACATTATTATTTCATCAACACTTGCTTTTTGTCCATGCATTGTTGAAACCTTCATGAATTACCTATCATTACCAATGTACCTATCTCGGTTCCTTTGCTATTTCTGAACACTTCCAGAACACAATAATAAATGGTAGTTGTTCAAACCATAATGTTCAAACCAAAATGACTAATTTCTTTCAGTCTCCTACAGACTACATACTTGATAAATAATGCTTAAGCATCAGGAATACAGGACTAATACTCACTGTTTAATGTTTTCTTCAAGGTGAATGTACCACTAATCCAGCAAAAAGTATCAATAAAATCTTTACTGATATCTGTTTTTCCAATATGACAATTAATTGGTTCTCCGAAATACTGCTTACTAGTCAACAATATCGAGAACCCAAGAAGGAGAACAACTGTTACTTTATAATGTAATTTAAATACATTATTATCGGCATGAATTTTCTCCAATCTCAATAGAGTCCTTAAAGATTGATAAAAATCTATCATTTCTAGGCTACAAAGCTACTATCATGAAGCACACGCCAGCAGTTGAATATCAATGATATGAATAATGAAACAGGAATTCAACAAGAAAAAGCCACTTCACTTCTGTTTGAAAAAAATGTTGAAAAAAACAGTACATATGATACTCATTTCAAATTCGTTTTTGTAGATTGTAGTCCATTTGCACATTCAAATGTCGATCGTGCCTACTAGTAGTTCAAAAGTAGGTTGGGGTTACGGGATATTGGGATTTAATCCGACACTTCTGTCCAAACTAATTTCAATTTCACCGTAGATTCGTCATGTCCAATATTTGTCCAATCATAGAAATTATATAATATGATTTTTATGGGTGAAGATGACTATATGAAAATCTATAATATGAATGGTGTATCTTATCGATATGAGAAGACATTGTTTTGCTGATTATTAAAATAATAACAAATAGCCAGGGAGCACTAGTAGACATAGTTGGAGAAAATATAGTACGCAGGTAAAATCTTCATTCTTTCTAGTATTTTTACATACGTGGATCATACTTCAAGTAAAAACCTATTCAAGTTACTAGTTACAAGCCGATCGATGAGATGTGCTACTTTGCTGAATGTATAAGTCCGATAAAAAAGCGGGGACTATTACTTTCTTGTCTTCTGAAACGTTTGAACGAAATGAACAGGAAACTTTCAAGGACAGACAAACGTTTCGGCATTTTTAGCCACAGAACATCAACATTCTGATATCATATTCACCAAACCCATTTATAACCATGTCCCTAGATTTTTCTTTAACGATATCGATCCTGAATCAGCATCTAGAATTTTTCATTATGCCGTTGGCCAATGTATCGTGAACATAACGATATCGGATTCTAATACTGAATAGACCCCTAATTAAGTGAAAATGTTCCATATGAAAGGCACAGCATAAGGATTATACGACGCGTCTCAACTGCTATTCCAGAAAAACTTTTTTTAGCCTGAACATTTGCCTAATTTACAGTTGCAACACTGTGAATTAGGCCGAGAATTTCGTTAATATATCCTAATTTACAGTTGCCGTATCTTTATGCTGTAATAAAAGTATGTTTTATTGTGAGTAATTCAAATCAATTTTGACCCCATTCTGAACTCTTGTGCTATGAAAATTAGTCGAATTGTCAAATGAACCACTGAACGTATAGATATTTTTATATCACAGAAAACATGATTGGGCGGTATATAGCCGGGCCATAGCTGTCAGCAGCGGATATGTGTCGGCTCTATGGCTCTATCATCTCTCGCCAGTCATGAAAGTAGTTGCATGAGGTCAGAGATAAGTTATGAGGTATATAAACATATACAGAGTGACCCATTCAAAAGCGTGTGTATTCACGATTGTTTTTTCGGAATGTGGAGGGAGAAAAAGTGTATTTTGGAGCTGAGCGGCGTCTATTTTTATAAAAAACCAAGGCCTACTAGATCACATTCAGAGTGCGTAATAGGAAGTTTTCGGAAAACATCCGCGTACACCACCAGAGTCGGAGGCCTCTGAAATAGATTTGTACCAAGTTTCATGAAAAAATATCGAACTTTTATTCGAAATGGCAGCCCTCGTTATCTCAGTTAAATTAGTCGTGTATGCCGGTATGAATAGCCATAAATATAATCAGTTTTTCAGAGACGAATATCCTGTTTGAGATACAGACAATAAACTTCTTTCCGAAGTGGTGCAAGGTTACCCAGGCAGGGGCAAAAGTAACCCCAGTTTACGGTATGTGATCTAGTAAGCCTGGGTTATTAAAAAAATGAACGCCGTTTAGCTCCAAAATACAACAGTATATTTAGTATATTATCCTTTCTCGTGAAAGGATAATACACTGTGGAAATACACGTAAAAATCGCTCCATGAATAGCACATTTATAAGGGTGGCCTGCTTTCGGAAGGGTCACTTCATTTTTACTACTGGTATACATATACAGTGTGTGTCTCACTTCTAATGGAAACACCCCTTCCCAGCAAACATGATTGAGCGGTAAATAGGCGGCCGATTGCTGGTAACTGCGGTTAGTTGTCGGCAGCGGCACACCTATGTCGTTAAAATGTTGAAACGACATCGGTTTTGCCGCCATGGCTGAACGTACGCATGTTTATAATGGATGTTTGTTATTCAGCCAGAAATTGCCCGTTTAAAATTCCCGACAATCGTGCCGATGTCGCTTTGACGCAGTATGTATGTTGTTTACAGGTCAGTGGTAACTGAACCAAACGCAATGTTGGCATCACTGGGTTTTTGAGCATTGGTAGTACTGCTAATTTATTTTCGTGTTTTAGTTCTGTGTCCGTAGATCGCGTCAGTTGTCTGTCACTTGTCTTCAGAAAAGTTGGTGAGTTTTATGATTGATCCCAGCAAACTATCGTCCGACATCAAGAATAATGATATATGTTATATAACAATAATTAAACTCGTTATTGTCTACCAATCCATTTTTGTGGTAATGATTTTGAGCTAAATATTTGTTCATTACCCTATATTATAACAATGATGCTCCAATGCGAAGTTCAGCTCTTTACCTATATTCGAAAAATATTTGATTCACAGTAATAGATCAAACACTGGAAAAGTAATGTGGCTAGAACATTATCAGACTAAACCTATTCTACGTCGTCGAATCAACAAGTTATGATAGGTATATCGTATATGATCAAATATCAAATATAATTGAAGTATTATACTATTTCAATTCTGTTGACTGATGGATTCGTAATAGTATCTTTCAAGTTTCGCAGTAGCCTAGTGGTATAAGCGTCTGACAGTTGATTGGATATCCGTTCGATCGCAAGTTCGAGTCCGACTCCCGACTATATCTTTTTTTTATTTCTAACCGAATAGTGTCGGTAGATAGTCGGGCGGCCTACTAGCGGCCGGTGCGACACGGGCTAGCCGGGCCGACGATGTATTATGATTGTGGCCCGCTGATGTTGACTGTCGGCAGTTTTTGGAGGGCGTCTAAAGGCCCGCGCGATACATGTTTGCTGGCTGTATCTTTGATAATTGTTGAGTTAGAATTCTGGAATTTGCAGAAGCGGAAGGTATACTGGAAATACACACTATAACCCACTGAAGTCATCTTCAGTAGAATACACTGCTCGCCAACAGCCATGGAACCACCCACATTTCCGGAAAATTATATTAGGAGGCAAGGTGTAGGTTGAAAATCACTTCGGATTCGTAATCCGGACGTCCAGTTCACTCGTTTTTCATATTTTTTCTGAACATTTTCCAGTTTTGGAAAATTAAATTTCTCACGTGATTGACTTGATCTTCAGTCCCTCCTTTTCTTCTACAAATTTCAGAACCCTACCTCAATAATTACGTAACGGGGGTGCTTCCATGAATACTGAGACAAAATTTGATTTTTCAGAACTGAACACTTTCTCAGGAGAAATATGAATAGTTAAGAATTTGACCTCTTGATTCCAAATCCGAAGGGATTTTGAACCTATCTTGCCTCCTAATATCATTTTACGGAAATGTGGGTGGTTCCATGGCTGTTGGTGAGCAGTGTATATAACTGAAGATGACACCACTTGGTTATTGTGTGTATTCACATTTTATCTCCTGCTCCTGCAAAATTTAAAGATACTAACTAAACAATTACGAAAGATACAGTGGTGTTTCCATCAGAAATGAGACACACGCCTAAATAACCGGAATGAGGGCTAACAGTTTCACTCTCAGGTCAGTATCAAAGTCTAAAATCCAAAAATTTTGCAGGATAGCCGTAAAAGCTATTGCCTGTTTTATCGAAAATATTCGAAAGACATGATAAATATTACGTATTATTACTCTCAACTTTACGACCAATTCTTTCATCGACTTAGAAGAAAATATCGTAGCAAGACGCCAATAAGTGACACGAAAAGAAGAAGTATATTAATCAGCTCTACCTGGTGTTACGTAGTGTTCTAAACTGAAGTTGAAACCACCATGCGGCGCATTTTTTGCTATTCCTTCAGTGTTTTTTTATATTGTTCTGGTGGCCGTTTCGCGACTTTTAGAAATCTGAGTTGGCAACACTGTATGACACTTAACTCAAAAACCCAAGTTCCGCGAATCCGCGATACGGAATACTAGTCACGGCCGTTATTAAAAGCCACTTGAATAATAATAAAAATAAAGTATTTTTTAATTTTCATCAATTATTAATATTCTTTATTATCATAAGTCATGAGACTCTCATGAGGCATAAGTAAACTCTCAGGACGCTTTCAATTAAAGTCTATTGCCTATTATTAATAATTAAGCACTGAAACATCTTGAAGTGAGTAATCATCATCATTTTATTCAGGAAAATTCATGTTTCTTGGAAACAATATTAGCGTGATGTTCTCGATATGGGTGCATGTTTAACATTGGAACGTGAAGAAGGTAAAGCAAGAAAGCGAAGTGAAGAGATTGATAGGCAGTTAGGTGAATTCGCTAAACAAGAAAATAATGTTATTAAAATACTACTTCTTGGTAAGATGAACATCAAATCAGTAGACAAAATTATTATTTTAATTATCCATTTCAGGTGCTGGCGAAAGTGGGAAAAGTACCCTAGTGAAACAGATGAAAATAATCCATGCAGATGGATTTACACATGCAGAACTCAGCAGCTTTCGACCAACAGTATTAGACAACCTATTGGCATCTATGAAATATGTTCTTGCAGGAATGGGAGCATTGCGAATAAACCTAGAACATCCAAGGAATAAAGCTCATGCTCAAAATGTTCTTGTAGCTAAGAGTTGTTTTGACATGAGCTTTATGATTCTACCTGGTGTGGCAGCTTCTTTACAAGTGCTTTGGACTGATAGAGGTGTGAGGTTAGCTGTTGCAAGAGGTTATGAGTATGAATTGAATGACTCTGCTCTCTAGTAAGTTCATTTCATTATTTTCATCTCAATAAAAATATTATTTTATTATACAAGGGAAAAAAGTTGTTGATATTAGCTCCAGGTTGTGTTGTCTCCTGATGTGAAGCAGAGGAAGCCAAAAAAACATGAGCTAAAATCTATTATTTTCCCATGTATAAATAATACACTATTTCTTTCTGTGAAAAAAGGATAAGTCAATGTTGAGAAAGTATTACATATTAAAATCAGAAAATTATAGGCATGCAATTTGAAGTTTTCAACAGGAATGACACCTGCCTCTCAGGCAACTTTTTGCAGGCATCTTCATCATTATTTTGAAGCAATCAAATATCTGTCAGTCTAATTATGTGATTTCAATTTAGAAAATTGCGAATTTAGTGGTTGTTTAGTGATTTACATAACCACAAACACTAGAGGAAGATTAAAGGACTTGAAGTTCTTTTTCTGGGAGATGGTGTATTGGCTTATTTTTTGAAACTATATGTGATATATATCCAGGAAAAAAGTACCCACTAGTTTCCCAAGGGAACAAAATTATTTATGAAAAGTGACATTTTAAAACATGTTAACAGAAATGAAATTTCAAACTCACAGATAAAAAAACTTGGCCATACAAATCATTCACATTCCATTCTATATCCTTATTACCTAACAAATAACAAATATGTGGCTAATTACCAAATGAATTCCAATGTCAATCCATCCTATTTAGAATTTTCTTTTATTTCCCATTGTGGGCATATGCTATGAGTAGTGATGAGTGATACCTGGGTATTTATGATCAAGGGCAAATACCCAGGAGCTGGGTATTTATGAACATATTTCATATTTATGAACTTTTCAACAGAAAACATGGAAACTTGCTATTTATTACACTATTTTTGCAAGTTTAATGTCTCAAAACAGGTTTTTTAATTTGACAAACTTCTAAACAACCAAAAACTCTGACAAAATCAATGTTTAGATTGAACAACTCTTTATGAAATCACTCCCAGGAGTCTGGGATCTGGTATCTGGTGCTACAGAAACATCACACTTGACAAAAAACCACAATAAACAAGAGAATCTATATAAAAAAAACGACCCACTTGGAAAACAAAATGAAACTTATTCATTAAAAAAAACTGACCCCTATCTCATGTCAGAGGAACAAGGAGCAATGAAAATGTAAAACAAATCGAAAAACTGACTCATTCAGTTTTCTCTTGTTGGTCTTGTGTAAGGAACAATAAAATAATGTATAACTTGAAAAATAAAAAACCTATTCTATTCTTCATGTGGGGAACAAATACAAATAACAACTTGGAACATACTAACTTGAATAAATACCCTTAGCATAAGTACCCACTTTTGGGTGGGTATTTATCCTAAGGGTGAATACCTGGGTAAATACCCAATTTATAAATACCCAGCTACTGGGTAAATACCCACAGCACATCACTAGCTATGAATGAAAAAGCTGATTTTACATACTGTCTGTAGAAGAGAGAATCCTAAAAAACTGGAAACATGATTTCACCTAATTAAGCTTTATTCAATATGACTATCTGAATCCTTCAATATTTTATTTTACAGTTTATTTGAAAATATGGAACGAATCTGTGACCCAAAGTATGTCCCAAATGCCACTGATGTACTCAGAGCTAGAGTACGAACTCAAGGAATAATAGAAACTCAGTTTCAAATAAATGATATGATTGTTAGTATGTATGATGTGGGAGGCCAAAGATCTCAAAGAAGAAAGTGGATATATTGCTTTGATGATGTTAGAGCTGTTTTATTTGTCATATCACTCAGTGGTTATGACATGACACTTCTTGTAAGTAAACATTCCAGTAAAAATATGGATTATTTTCTTGGTGGTTATTTTGAATAATACATTCAGAGGATCATAATAGGGATGCAGATTTATTCAAGAATGTATTGATTTTTTAATCCATTTGAATCAGAACTCTAAAAAAATCCATTGAAAGAAGATCAATGTAGAAATTAATCCATTTCCAAAAATCAAAAACCCTGCCAAATTTGGGAAAAAAGGTGTTTTTTTTTTTAAATTAGGTATCATTATGAGATAAGCTGTGGAAAAATTATGAAATATAGAAAGAAATTCCCCATAATCAAGGTATCAAGGAACAAAATGATCATATTCTCTCAGTCACAAAGATATAAAAATTTCAAGATCCATCTTCTGAAAAAAATATTCTATTGAATGTATGGCATGTTCCAGAAAAATCTATTAAATAATTGTTTCTTCTCTCTGAAAGATCTATTTCAGAATCAGCTTCCCTAGTTCATATCTAATTACTCAGAGACTTGCTCACAACTGTTGACCCACCCAAATATATTTTTTGTTTATAATCCATATTCACAGATGTCTCATTATTAGCACAGGGTTTCTACAGGGTGTCCCTAAAAGGTCTGTACCAAATCTTAGCACATGTTCCTGAGGTCAAAATAAGCCAATTCAATAGACCTTACCTCAGTCCAAAATGGCTCCGGTTCCGAGATTCAGGGTGGTGAATTCAAACAAATTTAATCAATAAGTACACTCCAGTAAACTCCAAAAAATATTTTGAAACATCCATTTTTGCACTGATCATTCACCATGTCATTCACTAACCAAATTACATCCACGAAAATAACAGCAAACATTTTTTATTCAAAATAATTTAAATATTCCCATTCAACATCTAACACTAAAAACAAATATTTCGAAAATGGCTTACTTTTGCTAATATTCACAAGGGTACCTTTCTTGCTTGCAAATAATTATTTCCTCAACAAAAAATATATTGAGAAAATAGTCATGACCAATGGTAACTATTAGAAGTGCAACAGCAAGTGCCCTCTAATGGTCACAGTGAAAAGGTGTCCACCCCAGAAAGCCCCAGGCTACCAATGTATAAAGTGGTACTTTCAATAATGTTCATAGGTTGTGATAACTTCGATTTTTATTTTTCAATCTCACCACTCTGTATCTTGGAAATCAAGCAATTTTAGACTGGGGTAAGTTGCTTTAGATTTTTTTATAGACCTTTTAGGGACACCCTGTATACATCATAATAGCATCATAGTGGCATTTGAAATAGTACCTGCGTCTGCAGAGTCTGCATCATAAAATGGAATAGTGGTGGGGACTTTGCTTAATCCCATGTCAATCAGCATGTCATAAAATGGAATAGTGGTGGGGACTTTGCTTATTCCCATGTCAATCAGCATGAATCCGTTTTGCCCAAATATATGCATAGGCGATTCCTATAGACCAATCAGAACAATCCAAGAAGCGCCTGCATGTTGAGAAACGCCTAGGGTTCAAAAAACAGGCAACAAATTAACAAATAATCCTTGTGCTGATATAACTGCTTTTGTCCACTAAATTCTTCCATGAAATGGAATATTCTCAGAATCGTGATTAGGTTTTCTCAATTCATAACTTCTTTCCATGACTTGCGCAGTAACCCGGGCGACAGTCGGTTTTTTTATTTTGTTTTTTCAAGTGAGTTTCCGAAAATTAAACTCTAGTGAGAAGGTTCATTTAGGCCAAGTGAAGTTAGAATGTTTAAAAAAAGTAGTCTTATGCAGCAGGGATAATATGTTCCTTCCTTCCTGAAAAAATTACTATGGTGGCATTTACTGTTGAAGCTGATAGTGATTCGCTATTTCAATGTTTTTTTTCAGAATCGGCCTTGAGTGAAGCACTTGGCCGGAAATTTTCTGTAGACCTGATTCCGCGCCAATTATAAGGGTATTGCTCTTATTTTCTAGGATGTGAAAATATTCGTTAATACCGACAATATCAGTAATTTGACCTTACCGCCATTACCCAAATCGCTCTGATTGGTCTATAGCAATCGCCTATCCATATGTTTGGGCAAAACGGATTCATGCTGTCAGTCATATCAATGTTGCCGGATTGTGCTGATTTTCTTTAACATGAGGAAGAAAGTACTATGGAAGTGAAAAGAGACTATTATATGAAACAACACAATCAAACTCGGCCAAAAGAAACCTTCACTCTAGAAAATAATTTTGTCAAAACTTTTTCTCAACAGTAAATGCATCCACAGTACTTTTTTCTCGACTTTTTTCAGGGAAGAAGGAAAATACCCCTCCTGCATAAAAATGGACACTACTTTTTTTGAACCATCTAACCTTGATCGGCCTAAATGAACCTTCTTCCTAAAGAATATATTTCTCCGAAAATCACTTGAGAAAACAGAATTAAAAAAAGCCGACCGTCGCAGGTATTGAACTCGGGTCGCCGACGTGGGATTAAAACGCACAGTAAACTACGCCACGAATCGTAGTTACCCTGGTAGTACGAAGAAAGAATTTAGTCTCTGTACATGCACTTGTCGCGCTGATTATATTTGTTACCTCCTGTCTTTAGGCGCTAATATTCCGATTCGGATGAAAAAGCGATAACTAGCAACGCTGCACTCAGTGGCAGTGAGAAAATTGTCCTGAAAGTTTAATACGTTTTACCAAATGGAACTGTTCCTAGGCAGTACCTTTCAATAAATTAATTTTGATTTCAGACTATGCCTTATGGTTGAGAAATGGTGAAAAATTTTATGTATGTATTTGAACTAATGTGCTCATGTGTCATATTGTGTGCTGTATATATTCATGTTGGAAAACATGTTTGCAGTTTTTCACGAACACTTAATATTTCCTGAATGTAGGTATAATTTTCTGAATGGTAGGGCATATGTCTCTTCTTTTTATCCTCTGTTTTAATAAAAACTGTTTCTACTAAAATGCATTCCATGAACCATAGTCGTTTCGCGCTTTTTCATTCAAAATTGTTTGAATCTGATAACACATTTATGAACGTCAGAATTGAAATATAATTTCATGAATTATTGAGAAAAAAGCATTAATGAAAACGTCCTGCTGTTTAAAAATTTGTGGGAATTCTGAAGAGAATTGATTCCATTTATTTATCCAAAGGAAATATCAACCATTCTCTTATGGAATAATGTATAAAACGGCCTGGATGGAAATATACATACATTAAAATTCACTTCTTGAAACAGCAGATTAGAATGAAACTATGTTTTAGGACCATTTTGAAACAGAAGATTTCAAGGTCCGTTTGAAAGAATCTTCTGTTTAATCCAATATTAAGACAGACTATTAAAAAAAACTCCATTATTATCATCACACGAAATGCAGAACAAAATTATCATGGAGAAAGAAGAATTGATTGCAAAGCTACATAATGAAATTGAAAATTGGAGAACGTTAGTGAGGAAATCAAGTAAATTGCAACTTGATATATCATTTTTCAATACCAACCAAATTCATTTATCAGTGAAAAGGTGGAAAATCAAAACAATAAATAAAGGGCCATCAAATATAGTTGTCGTACAACCGAGGGTACCACAGGCTGTGAACTCCTGCTAAGAATGAAGTTTCCTCTTCCGTCTATATCAGGACCCTATCTTTAGGATAATTGAGCACATAACATTCGATTTTCAACATACAATAAGGAACTAGCTTTAAGTATTTCCTTATGTGTCTATTTTATTGTTGTAGCAAAAAATTGTTACATGCATATTCTTTTCATTGTTATAACTTAAAACAATAATAATAATAATATTTATTTCACTTGTTAAGCCGTACGAAAGCGTTACAATAAACATTTACGTACAGTAACAAGGAATACGTCTATGTATAAATAAGAGAGTAGGAGATAAATATATATATATAAAAAAACAAAAATTTTATATAAAACGACAAAACTTGACACCTATTAATTCGGACATATACAGATGGGTGATTTATTGATTATCATGAGTTACTAAAACTCGTCAACGGTGTAGCAGTTTCTTTCTATGAGATATTTTTTAATTGTCTTTTGAATATGGAGATATTCTTTGAATCCTTAATAGAAACATCTAGCTTGTTAAATAGTTTGGGTCCAAGGTAGAGGTGACTCCTCTGATAAAGGTAGGTTCGGTGAGGGTTTGCTATCAGCAAACCTCTTGCTCTCGTTGGATAAGGGTGGTCTTGTTGGTTTGCCCTAAATTTATCTCTATTCTTATAAACGTAGAGACATATCTCATATATATACAGACCAGCAACTGTGAGTATTTCCAGCTCTCTAAATGAGTTTCTGCATGATTGTCGCCATCCCAAATTAGCAATTACTCTGACCGCGCGTTTTTGTAGAATGAATATTCTTTCAACAGAAGAGCTCATACCCCAATTTAGGATTCCATAGCGCAGGTGACAGCCAATAGTTGCATAATACAGATTTAGCAGGACCTCTATTCCACAATGATTCGACATAAATCTCAGTGCATAACAGTTCTTTCGTAGTTTATCACATAATGAATCTATATGAGGACTCCAATTGAGCTTATGATCTATAATTAGACCTAGCATTTTTGTTTCTGGGTTGGATGTCACCTCTATTTGGTTATCTTCATATATTTTTAGAGTTTCAGTTGTGTTATGCATCGAGAATTTTACTAATGCTGTTTTGTTGATATTTAGTGCTAAGTGATTTTTATCAGCCCATTCCATTATTCTCTCATATATGGATTCTGTTGTTTCTACAAGTGCTGATTTATTATGATCATTGACCAGAACATTTGTATCGTCTGCATATGCAACTATATGTACCTTCGAAAGACTATTTAGATATAGTATCAAGTCGTTCGCATAAATAAGAAAAAGTAATGGTCCGAGTATGGATCCCTGAGGAACTCCTTGTTTGCACGCCAATGACTGACTGTGAACACCTTGGATTATCACTCTTTGTGACCTATTCTCTAAATAGGACCTTATCCAATCTTGGGCAATTCCACGGACCCCATAGCGATGCAATTTCTGGAGCAGCACATAGTGATCAACACAGTCAAATGCCCTGGAAGAATCGATGAACAAACCACAGATTTGTAGTTTGTTATCCAAGGCTGTTACTGCGTTCTCTATAAAATCATACAGAGCTGTTTCCGTGCTCTTATCTTGCATGAAACCATGTTGGTTTGTCGAAAGAAGTTCATTTCTAAGGGAAAATGATATTAACTGATTTTTAATATTCAGTTCGTATAACTTGGATATACTAGAAAGAAGACTCACTCCTCTATAGTTCTCATAGCTATTTGAGTCTCCTTTTTTGAAGATTGGGGTAACGATTGCCGATTTTAATTTTTCAGGGAACACTCCTTGTTCCACGGAAAGATTTATCAGATATGTCAGGGGGTAGACTAGTTCTGATAAACTGGTGTTCTGCATAAAGTGTATCGCTATTTCTATTTTCCATCTACGGCTATGATTGATTTGACAGAAAATCTAACCTCTAAAATCGTATCTGACCATCAGGTGCTAATAGGGAAATTGAATAGACAAAGAACAGAATATATGTCCTATTCTTTTATTCACTCAAACCATTGTAATATAGAGAATAAAAAGGACAGCAGTTCAGCTGTGTCCGAACTCTTATCTAACTAATATCATCCAGTGACTCTAACACTTCCGGTTTCACCGGAAACGATCCCAACTTTTGACTTATCCCCTAAGCCCTTACGAATTCAACGATACCGATTTTGATAGGGTAATTTCAAACGATTAAGGATATTTTTGCTTTCTTAGTTTCCCTATATTCAATGGTTGTGACGGCGCAATATCGAAATTTCTTTCTCTGTCACACTCATTGAGTATAGAAACTTAGAACGCGAATATCTTCGTAATCATTTGAAATAACCTATCAAACCCGGTATCGTTGAATTTGTTATGACAATCCCTAACCCATTATGGAAATAAAATACAGAGTGTCCCATTTGACAATCAAAAGTTGGGGTCGTTTCGGGTGAGATCGAAAGTGCTGGAAGAGTAAGAAATATTGCAAAAATTTCCAATTCTCGAATCTTACACCTCTGCCAAATTTGAACCTCATACCTTCGAAACTATGGCGACCATGGCTTGTCTAATGCATGCATAATTTTCATGTTTACAGTATGAACACTGACATCTAGATGAAAACCTTTTTATAGTACATTCAATATTTTGTGTTTCAAAATTACCCCCTTGCCCCTCCCCTGACTGAAATCGATACTCAACAAAGTAAAGAAATCGTTAAAATTTTTTTAAAATATTTTTCTATAGACTGAAATCGATAATTTTTAATGAAACCCTGAAGCTTCAAGCTTCTTGATATAGCCAAAATTCCCTTTTCAATGACATATCCCAAGTGGAATTTTTTTTCTGAAAATGGTGGCTCAAGTTAGAAAAAAGTACGTTTTTCTGCAAACGTCAAAAAAGGTTTGCATATTGATAATACTATGCGAAGTGACACCGTGTGCGAACTAGTGCTAGTGAATATTTCGCGCATTTCATGTAAACTATCGAGATTTTTGTATTATAACCTTTGTGGTCTTCAATCGAACAAACATTCAAAAAATCATTTATTTCTAAATGTGTAACAATAATTAAGGCTTTTTAAGCTAGGTCAACACTATTTTTTATGTTAGCTTAGCATATGGTTGAGTGTGATTTCAATTAGGTATAATCTAAGTTGGTTAAAATTTTAGTTAGGAACTAAACTGGAAATGGTTTGTTTAAATTGTTTTGAGGTGAGAAAAAATATGTCTACAGTTCCAAGTTTATTATAATTTCTGCACATTGATTTGATTGAGGAATGAAAATGGTGCTGTGTATTAGACACACAGTATTGTGTATAATTTTGTAAGCAAAAAGTAAATCAAGTATTTCTCTCCTCTTCTTTAGCGATTGGAACTTGAACTCATTGTGAAATGAGTATTGTGGAAATTTACGCTGTACCATTTGGATAGCAGAAATTGTTTATTGGTGGTACGGATTCCATACCTGACCACAGTATTCTAGTTTACTTCTAACCAAACTAAAGTATATCTGACAAAGTGCTTTCAATGATTCAAATTCACTACAAGTACGAATTAAAAAACCCAAGGATTTCAAAGCTTTGGAACCCAGGTCCTTGTTCTGTGTGACTCGTGTTAGAGATTCATCATTAATGACATATTGTTCCGTGAATACGTCATGACCTTACATTTGCTGACATTAAGCGATAGTTTATTTATTGAACACCAGTTTTTCAACAGATTCAGATCATTTTGTAAGGAAATAGCATCTGATAAGTCGTTAATCCTTCTAAAAATTTTCATGTCGTCAGCAAATATGTAGAATTAGACTAAAAATTGGAGCACACATTATTCACGAATAACAAAAATAATAAGGGTCCCAAATTTGAGCCTTGAGACACACCTGATGTTGCTATAAACTGTGAGGATTGAACTCCTCCGTATTCAACATTAAGTCTGCTGTCTTTTAGGTACCTATGTCCTCAATACATTGATAAGGTTTTTGGAGAATCCAAAAGATACTAGTTTATCTAATAACCTGCTGTGATACGCGGTCAAATGCTTTACTGAAATCAGTGTAAGTAACATCAACTTGGCATCTTGATTCTAGAGCATTCGAAACAAATTCCGTAAATATACAGAGGTTTGTCGATGTACTGCGACCTTTCATGAAGCCATGTTGTTTTTTTGTAATGAGGTGACGAGTGTGTTCATACATCAGGTCCGCCAAAAGAATCTCGAATAATTTCGAAAGAGCAAAAATTAGAGCATTTGGCATATAATTTGTTATTTCTGTTGTTTTTCCTGATTTAAAAATAGGACGTATACGTGAGTATTTCCATATATCAGGAAATGTTCTACTTCTAATCATCAGGTTGAAAATGACGACTAAAGGATCCAATAATTTGTCAATAGATTTTTTTAATAGCTTGGGTGGAATATTGTCAGGTCCAGATGACCACTTGTTCTTGAGCTTTTTGCAAGCATTGAGAATTTGAACTCGAGTAATTATGGGAACGTGTAAGTAACTGCTGTTACATATAACTACTTTAGAACTATAATTTGTGACGTTTGTAGAAAAAGTGTTGTTTGCAACTCGTGCGTGAAATGAAGGATGTCGACTATTTTTACAAGTATTTGAGTTTTATTTTCAATTCAAGTTCATCTAAAAATGTGGCACTGTGGATTGGGAGATTTTTTGTCGATCCGTATTTATTCATATCAATCGTTTATTCCAATTAACCATCAATATTAGCAATATATCTCACTATGAATTGTTCATTCTTAACACATGACTCTTTTTAGGAAGATCCCAGTGTTAACAGACTTGAAGAAAGTTTGAACTTGTTCGGACAGATTGTGAATAATCCTTTTTTCAGAGAAGCCTCATTCGTGCTGTTTTTGAACAAATTTGACTTGTTCAGGGAGAAAATTTTATATTCTAGCAGACATTTAAGGCTTTATTTTCCAGATTATAGAGGTGAGTGTTAAGTTGAAAAATGCAATTGAACAAAAGTTGGTTTTCAAGACAAGGTGCTGAAATTAAAATTAAATCGGATTATTATTAATATGTAGAAAACGCTTTGTCCATTTGAATGAAATTAGTAAATTTATAATAATGATAATGATATTCAATGAGTTTATTCAAAAAATATTTTCCATAATAAGAGTTATAAATATATAGTGTATTGAATAAACTGAAGGAAAACCTTACGAAGTGTAACTTGTTGTAAGGATTGTTGAATATAAATACAAATCAATCAATATAATCGAATTACATATTTTATTTAATTTCAAGGCACAAGTATTGTTTTTGAAATTTTTTTATGCATCCATTTTTTTTTTCTTTCATATTCATATTTGATATTTATATTTCCTATTATTATATATAATAATTGATATTTTGGCTCTCAATATTTTATATATAGTATTCAAATATTAATAAGATCGGCAAATATTTTCCTTGAAGAGTCTAATGTCCAATTTTTTATTTTCATTTTATAGCACCTAGTTTTTTTTTCATTTTTTTGATATCATTCAGAATTGTATCATATAAATAAGGAATTGAATATTCATAATTCCTTTGTCCAATAGTTTTATTTGTTTAATATTTCAAGGTTATTACAGTTTTATTTCTTGTATCATGTATATGACTTTTGAAATTAATATCATTTTTATTCCTGAAAATGTGAATCAATAAATTATAAATATATAGCTGATTTATATTCATTTTTTAAAATTCTTTATATAATAGATCTGTAGGATATAAATAATCTTTTTCATAAATAATTTCTAATATCAATTTTTTAATAATTTCCAATTTCTTCAAATATGTTTGTTTCACACCACCCCATCCAAGAACACCATAAATTAACTGAACTGTACTCAAGCAAAATATATCATTTCTAAATTATTAATGTTCAATGCATGTTTTGAACGTTTGAATTTAGGAATGAGACATCTAATTTTCTTTGTAACATAATCAACATGATAATCTCATTTTTGATTATTATCAATCATTACGCCAAGGTATACAATGAGTTTCTTGACTGTAAATTTCACTATTGATCTTGTTATTACCTACGATTGGCTGAGAATTCTGATATGATCTGAATGTCATGAATTTTGTTTTTCCGAAATTGATAGTCAACAAATTATTATCAAACCAATTTTTGATAACATGACTTTTTGGATCGCTTTTTGGTTTCTCGATTTTTTTCCATTTGACTTTGCTTTCATAGAGTTAAGAAAAGAGTCAAAGTCGTACAAATTCGCTCAAATTTGGGTGCATGGAAAATCAAAATAGAAACAACTCTCCATTTAATATTTTGGGTCTAAGAAATTAATTTGAAAATGAAAACTTTCAAGTTTTTTAAACTGATTCGAAAGGTATAGCCGATCCATAGAAACAATTCCTTAACGTTGTGTTGTATTATTTTCAAAGCAAACAATATTTATCAACTCCGAACTAAATGATAATAATAAAAAATCTGCATTCTGATGCATACTTGAACACTGTATACCAATTCACTTAGACTTAACCCGCTATTAGGCTATGGCCGAGAAATCATGAATCACCCTGTATATTATTTTTAAGGTCCAGATAAAGATGTCGACCGGGGAGCTCTCTTCATTCAGCACAAGTTTATATTGAGAAACGGTGATTCCAGAAAAGTATTATATCCTCATTTCACTACTGCCACAGACACGGCCAACGTAAGAGTTGTTTTTCAGTCTGTCATGGAAATGGTGATTTCTAGTAACTTAGGACAGGTTACATTGTTGTAAATGATTTTAGCAGATTGTTAAACACCACAGGAGTCTCCCTGTAGTGAAATTGTTCAGGAACGCAAATACCCGTACAGCACCATCTCCCGAACGTGAAACAATATTCTTGTAGTTTCGTTTTTTCACGTGTTTCATGAACTGGTCTGCTGATGTCGAATTCAAGTTTTTGATTTTGGAGCACATGTTCTTGCATCGTCATTTTAAAAAAAAAAAACAGATGGATTACAAAATCTAGTTTTTCCCAAATCTTTTCAATGCGAATTTCAGTTGAACAAAACAGTTGTACAAAGCATAACATGCTCCACAACTTCTTTATTTGGAACTTTTCACTATCTCTAAAAGGAACCTAGATTCGTTTTTTGTTATTCCTTTTGTGAATTTCGTGAAGCATAATAGTTATTTATGTACCAAGTGCGTTATATACAGTGTGACCCACTTCTAATGGAAACACCCTTGTATCTCACGCAATCGTTGGGTTAGGATCCTGAAATTTGCTGGAGCGAGAGATATACCAAAAATGCACTCTATGACCAAGTGAGGTCCTCTTCAGTGATATACACTGCTCGCCAACAGCCATGGAACCACCCCAATTTCCGGAAAATGATATTAGGAGTCAAAATAGGTCGGAAATCACAGATTCGGAATCAAGACGCCCAATTCACAAACTCTTCATATTTTTCCTGGAAATTTGTCAGTTCTGAAAAATTTAATATTGTCGCACTTTTTACGGAAGCACCCCCGTATATTAAGTGAGAATTCTCATGTATTTCTGTATATATATCCATTTTATTAATATTCATAATATATCTGAGAATTTTCCTCTTCAATACTCCCAACAAATCAAGGGGTTCAAACTCAAATGATGAAAACTTGCTATTTTTATAGACCTCTAATTGGGTTTTCTCCATTCACTCTTTTTTCCACACCCTGTATGATGAATATCAATTTGTCATACATCCAACCTTCATGTACCTATAGTAATATAATTACTGAACACACGAAATTGAAGTCAAAATGTTTTTACTAAATTGCTTGGCAAAAACTATATTTGGAAGTTCAAGGAAAAAACTCACTTTGACGTGCTATCACTAAAAAGTAGATAATCTGAAAATTCGAGTGTAGGAGGTTTTCCTCATCCATCTCCACATCATTTAGGTGATTTTGCACTTATCATGCGATGTGTTCTTTTTAAATTTGTCGACTTCCTATGGATATTTCATGATTCAACATGACAATAAATGATAGTGTAGAGATCGAAGCCTTCAAAATGATCCAGTCAATATCATTGTTGGCTTTATGAATGTCAAAATATATTCACGTAAAAACTCGTGTAGTTCTAAAATTGTTGTATCCGTCATTCGGTTGCCCCCTTACGAACAACCCTCAAGTCTTCGAGAGTCTTGTGCGAGCAAGGAATGACGGGGGCCTTACCTTTTAACGTGTGATCCTAAACACTTTCTTGAGCCATCAGAAAAACTTCTGCACTCTGTCCGCACGGCTCATTCAATAGAGTGACCCGTTTGAAAGCCTCTTGATTTTGAGGATTGTTTTTTTCAATTTGGAGGGGGGAAGGGGCTGGAAAATCCAGGATCCATATTATTGATTTTTTTAGAAAAGAAAACTCGTTCTCCACTGGAATTGGCGTCCCCTGAAATAGACCTGTACCAAGTATCATGATAATATATTCAACATTAACATGAATGGATTCTGATTTTCAGCCTAAGAATCATCTGATAGGCAATGGTTTCTAAAAAAAAAAAAATAGACGCCGCTTAGCACCAAAATACACCTTTCCAGTCTCCATATTGACAAAAAAAGTCGTCAAAATCGTTTAATGAATAAAAATGAGGGTGGTATGCGGTACAGTGCCTCGAACATCTTATTTCACGCCCTTTAAAGAGTGTGGACATGTTGGTAAACAGCTGAACACAAATATGTTTTATAAGAAATGGAATGTCACTTTTTCTGTTCCCCTTCAATGAACGAGTGCAGACATTATTTGAAACCCTAACAGTGGCGAAACTCCTTCAGAAAAACAATTCATAGTTTATGAACTTCGTATTCGTATTTGGTATTTTGGAACTATCACTTCCCATTGTAGTAGGCTATATTAATTTTGGAGAACTTTACCACCCTGTATCTCAAAAGTTACGATGTTTAAATCATACGTTCATATAAAACTTTCTTCTATCACCTCCCCAAATATTGACATTCAGTTATAAAACACTCTGTATATTGACCTGCCAATATCTTGGAAAATTATTTTCTCTATCTGGTTTTCAAAATGTTTTCAACGTTTGAAGTTTCAGAGAAGAAGTCATTAGGAAGAAAATGACGTTTCGAATGAATTTTATTCAATTGCCAGTCTAGTTTGCATACGAAATGTCAATTTCATACTATCGATGGGATATAAGAGATATCGGAAATACCATTGTTATCAAAAAGTTGAAAATGCAAATAACTCGAAGAAAGAAGAACTTTTACTGAAACGATTATTTGTATTATGGATAGATTCCACATAACGTAGACATTCATTTTTGTCCGAGATACCATAGAGCTGTGTTGCTCTACCGAATCTGGTCAGTAGTAATTGGTCTTTGACAAATAAAGAATATGTAAAATTACATAGCCGTCCGAGCGATCTTGATTGGTGAGATGGAAAAAACAGTATCTCGAAAAGGATAAGATGAATAGTGAGTACACAGAACCAGTACAACACTTGCATTGCTTTACAAAATACAGCAATTTGCGAGCTGCGTCAGAAAGTGGTACTGCTATACTCATAAATAGAAAATATATTCCGCATAACGTGGATATGATTATTTGTCAGAGATACTAGAGGGTTATTTCATTCACATTATCTGTGAGACCCAGTTGAAGTATTTTGGTGAAGGTGGGGGAGGCAGCTACGTCAATATTTACCACATTGGAATTCCTATTTCTTTCATTTTATCCACTGTACCCAGCAAAAATCTCAGGTTCTTTAATTTGAATCCGAAAGAAAAATATTTGTTGTTTATTTATTTTGTATTGTCATTGTGTAAAGCTAATTGATCATGACTATAAAAAATAAAAAGATTAAGTTGTTGTTCATGATGCATGATTTGACCTCTGTTTCGTTAGGAGAAAGACAGATTACTTCATTCGATAAAAGAAATCGAATCATCGGAGTATTGCAATAATCTCTGCTCTAGGAGGTATCAGGTGTCATCATATCAGGAATCGTCAGTTCCTTGAGACCTGGATAGATTTGTTACCTAGAATCAGATTTCTATAGCATGTTTCGGATGAAGAGAGATAGTTGGAGCCATATAGCAAAGAATAGTATAGGTTCTCCTCTTTGCATATACAGTGTGGAGACTTCAACTGGAATGAATTCGTTAAAGGGGAGGTGAATATTTTTTCTAAAAATACGTCAACGATTTGATGTATTTACTGAATATATCCCTCCAGGGGTAGCTGAAACCACCCTCAACATGATTTTTTCAAATGTAACCCTATGGCTTGTGACCCCTCATTGAAAAGCTAGTGGAAAGAGGAATCCAGCGTACTAGTCAAATTTCAGTTTCTCATACTTTGAAAGGTTGCACAAAAGTGAAATGTAATTTTAAAATTATTTTTTTCATCTTCGTATCAATCGCTCAAAATGTGTGTTGAACAATTGATGGCAATTTTTCGCAAGAACTGCTATAGATCTGCTATTGTTTTCCAGTGTTTTTATAGAGCCGCAAAAATAAATTTTGTTTTTTTGCCGTATTCACAGTTCGAAACAAAGTGTTATTGTAAACTGGTGGAGATGCACGTTGAAAATATATCAAACTTCAAAATTATATTTTGATTTAATGCGACCTCCAAACGTTCCGCAATGTGAAATATGACCAGTACGCTGGATTCCTCTTTCAACCCCATAGGGTTGCATTTGAAAAAACATGTTGGGGTTGATTCCAGTTATTCCAGTATACCAACGTTGGAGTTGGTAAACCCAAGGGCCGGTAGGGGAGGTGCACCCAAACGGAATGACGTCACGGATACACTCAATGAAATGGGATTATCAGCTCTAACCATGTGAATGAAATATCCCTTAGGCAGCTATATCGCTGATTCGCTCTACCAGAGCTCATCAGTGTAAGTTGGTCTCTGAAAAATAAACGTATCCGAGAATGCATACAGCCGTCCAAACGATCTCAATCGGCGAGATGGAAGAAACGCCATCTCAACAATGTATATAATGACAGCGACCTGCCATTTGTACTCTGTATATTCATATGGCCAATAAAAATTACTAACTTACTTACTATACAGGGTGTAATTTAATCGATGGCTAAAAATATAGGATATGGCTCCTTAGCTCATTTTGAGAAGAAAAGTTCATATGATATGCACTTAACCTCATAACTTCCGAGCTATAGGGTTTTAAAATTTTATTATCTCCTTATTATTTATTAAAGAAACTTTCAGAATGTAAGAAACTTTCACGTTTATGAATACTTTTCAAAATAAGACCACAATGTGATCGAACAAATGTCATTATTTTTAATACAAAATAGAGAACTAGCCTACTACTTCGAAATAATTTCGTTATACCACAAAGGCATTGAAATAGTTTTTATTTTTTTACGCGGAATTGTTGCGTCGGACTGGAAAAAATACAAGAAGTCAAATTCAGGAACGTCATTTCATTGAATACCAAGGGGGTCAAGAAAGTCAGAAAACATTGTTGCAATGTGAAAAATGCGCCGCAGGTAAATTTTTGTGAGGTTCAAGATCAAATGCCTGCAAATTGAAAAGTTGATTTCAGAGTGATAATTCCATTTCAGTGTTTACCAGGAAGGGGGTCAGAAACTACAACAAAAACTTGCACAGTAAAAATGTGTCGCAGGCGAAAATACTTTACTTTTTTAATAAACTTGATGATGTTTCATCAATTTTGAAATAATCTTTTTATTCAATTTCAAGTACTAATACAATATTGATGATGTATATTATATGTGGTTACAGGA